AACTTCATTCATTGTGATGATCTGATTGAGCAGGTTTCTCGTAACCTGAATGCCGAAACGACTAACATGTCTAGTTCATATCTCCTTCCCGCCTCTATCTATCTCAATGTGATAGATCGGAGGTTTTTCGGCAAAACGAATGGTTCATTCCTCCCAACGAAACGAACCGCGAAACGCGCGTGTCTTACCGGACGAGGGGCGAAGTTTGACGCACAGGCACGGACCTGGGCGACGCGCGTGACCGCACTCGTCTCCACTCCGTTGTGGGCCAAGAACGAGTGAAGGACCACCGCAAAGCGACCAACTCTGGTAGCAAGAAGCTACTAGTAGCTAAGGGCATCGCTATTAGGAACAGGTGCATTGCTACTAGTAGCTTCTTGAGCCCTTCGGAATCCCCTTCGGAACCCAAATCATTGTGGCCCCCCCCTTGAGGTGTCTTTTCTAACACCATCTAGCCGCTCGTTTGCGAACGCGGAAGGCACGGGGCGCCGGGCCATTGAGCATCCAATGGTGGAAAGACAGGTGCCATCCTCAGTGCAGCCAAGGAAGGGGGATGGGCACTGCTGGATGTCCCAGAAAAGCAGTAGCTGCTTAGATTGAAACTCGGAAGGCAATGAGTTGTGGCCTTCTTCCATAGCATACGGCACCAGAACAAGAATGCAAGAATGATAGCTCTATATAATATATAGCTCTTAATTCCCAACAGGAGTTTTTCAGGGTCTCCCGCCTGTGCATTTCCAGCAGATCTCTGGAAGAGAAGTCCCAAAAAAACTGTGAAACACGGGATTCCGCAACGTTGCACCCAAATTGGACTCTGCAGCTAGGTCTGCCGCTGTGGAGTCCATTCGGGAGCTGCAGCTCGGAGGGTCTGCAAGGCGGGCCGAGGTCGACAGGGATGTTCCAACCCCCAAGCCATGGAATTCGAAGAGGTTGTTGGGGATCCGGGTGCCGGATGATTTTGTCAAACATTTAAGAGGCATCCAATGAACTATGCCTGACTCAAGTGCTCCGTGTTCGAGGTCCAACTGACTCAGCGCTCTTTGATGCTCTTGGTGTTCAACTTCCCACAAGTTCATGTGTGCCCTAAACCACCACCCTTGAGATTGTGGCAACAGTTAAAAAGTCTTGACAGGCAGCGTGTGAGGGTGTGTGCGTGTTCGTTTGTTCAGGTCTTCGATCTTCAAGCCGACGTATCGACGTAGCCGACCGCTTGACCGGCGCACCGAACCGCGCCTTGGGTGGCCCACCAGCCTGGCGTGCGAGTGCAGTGCTGGGCTTTCAAGCAGGGGAAACGGCCAAGCTGAAGCCACTACTGGGGTGTGCAGGTTATTTGCTTCTTAATAACACAATTGGCACTTGCCAAGATGCTGCAGGTTCTCTTGAATCAATTTGGAATAGTAATTGTATACAGGGTCCTCAGTTCTATAGGTAACTCACTACTTACAGGGTCCTCAGTTCTCACTATAAACTTGAAGTATCTCAGTCAGCGGAGGTGAACTCATGCCAAAAGGCTCGCCTGTCCCTGGTCCGATGGTTGGAAATTAGGTCCATTTAAGCTAGCAGCAAACTCGAGTTGTTGTGAGGACCTCCAGCCTGCTCCATAATGAATCTCAAGGCTCTCAAGGCTCAATTTTGCTTCAGATGTCCAAATCAAACCGGACATATGGAAATGAGAACCGAGCAGGGACACATACCACACTCGAGAACACACACCCATATATCCGGACATACCCCCGAACTGCAGCTTCGCTTTTCCGGGTTCCTTTCTTTTTCCGGGGCTCGTTTCTCTCCTCTTCCCCCCCCCCTGCACAGTCCTCCCGTCCCGTCCGTCATCCCCTTCCTCGGGTCGGTCGCGCAGAAGCCTCGCCTCGAAGAGCGCATGGAGCTTCTGCCAGGCGGTGTCCGGCAGGACACGGAAGTCTCCCTATGGGAGGCTCGTTCAACGACCCGAACTACGGGCATGGTGGCATCGGGTTTTCTGCACGGAAGAGCGTTTTGGGAAAAGGAGACTTGTTGGTTTTGACCACCAAGGAGCCATCTGAAGTCACTTTTCGTTCACTTCCCATGAAGTGTAGCAGGGGTTGGTGAAGGAAAGCGCAAGTTGTGGTCCCAGTGGGAAAGCTTCAAATCTGTCTGTCATTCCTCAGTAGAAGGTCACCACGTATTTCGTATTTGACAATAGTTGATCCGACCACCACGCCTTTTGTTTCTCAGAGCTTTTTGTGTCCAGTGGATGGATATGGATGGATGCAAACTCTAGGGGTTGTTGAGGTTCTTGCGGATGTGTCATAGGCTCTATATGGCTCTATAGGTTGCATCTGAGCAGGCAAGCAGCTGCCATTTCTTGGGCATCACGTCGACAGGGGTCACCGGTTTGTTGGGGGGGTTGGGCCACCCAGTGGGGCACCGGTTCTGTTACGTCCAAACCTTCTGCGGCCCAAGAAGCATATGGGTTCGGTCTTGGTCCTTTGGCCTTCTCCTGCCCGCGGCGGTCTGCGGATGAACGAAGACTAGACGTGTGGCGGTCGGTTGCTTTCAGTTGACGTGAGTGCCTGGGTTGCTGTTGTAAGGCTTGGGAGATTGGAAAGTGGAACTTTGGAAAATCCTCTCTTTTACACTTCTTCACTCCAGCTTCAATTTGCAGTGGCCTACAAAAAAACACAATGTGAAGAAAAGAAAGCACAATATTAGCCTTTCGGCACCTTACGTTGTTACACCCACAGAACTGGAAGCGCCAATCTGCTCAAACTTGGCCATGCGAATGCTGATTAACATGTTCAAAGCAGCAAGAGCGGTTACCGGGTACGTTTGATTTTGCTGCTTTGGGTTGCAGCTCTATGGTGTTCATCCTCCACTGCCCACTCCCTCTCTCAGATTCCTGCGAATTGCTTACTAAACTAAACTAAACTAAACCATATAAGCTCAGTTCCCACCAGAAATCGTCATGTTGCAGACCAAAAGCCAAGCCCAAAATTGAGGTCTTGAACCATTCTCAACCTGCCACGTTCCACCTGGGCCGAACCAGGTGCTCCGGCCTTGCTGATGTCGACGCCCACGGTGGTTCCCTGCAGGGTGGTGAGTTCACAACGGGGGGGTCGAGTCTAACACGTGGGAATTCCCACGATGTAGTCTCCGCAGCCTCGCCTGGAACCCGTTGACTTTATCTTGTACTTCTTGCTGCCTCAGCTGATCAAGCACCTTGAGGTATCATCTGCAGTGACAGGTTCCTCTCACCATGTCCGGTGATCATCAAACTGCAAGCGAACAATGCTTCATACAAGAACAACAACGACGACGACGACAATGACCACCACCACCACCACCACCAACAACAACAACAGCAGCAACAAACAACAAAAAACAACAACCAACAAATCATCAACAACAACAACAACCAACAAATCATGGAAACCACAAACATCCACAAACTCATAAACCATTCAAGCTAGTTTCCATACCACACTGGCAGTGTCTTTTTTTTAACGGGGAGTGTCAGTTCCACTGGCCACTGGTCACTGGTTGGTCCTTTTCTGGCATGTTGCACCAACCAAACCTCAAATTGTGGGCCTGGTCGTGTGGAGAAGAAGAATGTCCATAATGTGCCATTCTTGCTTTCGCACAGTAGATTCCAATGCCTTGCACTTCAGGAGGCACTGCCTTCCAGGCCCTCACAGATTGCCAACACCCTTCATGCTAACCTTCAACAGGCCAATGACCCCAAAACCAAGAATCCACTCCCAGAGTCTAGAGTCTAGAGCTTCATTCAGCAAGTAAGTATGGACATCTGGAATCATCTGGTCTTTCAGCATGTCCCAGGATGGCGCCCCCTGCGCGCGCTTGATCCTAGGGGAACCTCCCAATCCACTCCATCCATCTCAGGAGCATCTCACCACTTTGGGAGCCACCCATCGCACGGGGCCCGTCACGTGTGGAACGTCGACCAGTTGACCGAAAGTGTGGGGGGGGCACTGCTGAGACCGGGCACCGCTGGGGAGGAGAAACGCGACCAACACGAGACAGGAAGACCAGGAATGAAGAAGCCCGTGAGAGGATCACTCCACGAAATGACTAAGCTGTTTTTCATGATGAGACATTCATCATGCTTTTGTGCTGTAGGAATCGTCAAGACGGTGATCCTGAAGAAGCATTCCCTCAATCAGAGCCGCTCGGTGTCGCGACTCGCCTCGCGTGATGCTCGGTTGCTCAGCCAGTTGACCTTCACCCTTCAAAGTGACCACGCACTCTGAGCCCAGCGAGCGAAGAAAAGCGGCGCCGAACCCGTGGCATGCTGTTCAGCTGCATTTTCCTGGGTCACCTAGTGTTTTCAACACACGAGCAACGCTCTGGCTTGTCAATAGTAATAAAAAAACAACACCGGACCCATAGTTACTTAACCCAACCTGCGGCATGATGATCGTCCCGGCAATCCAATGTTAGGTGAGGTAAAGGATGCCCATCCCCCCAGGCGAACAACGACAGCATCAAAATAACATAGTTCAACAAACATGAAGGCGCACAATATGACTTTGCATTGCATTTGCTGCTGGGACATTCTCCATGCTGCTATAGCCTATAGCTTTTCAGTTTCACATGTTGCAATCGCTTTCCTTGGCGTATACTTGCCTCACGGTCCAAAAAAACACATGCGAACTTTCGACTTTGACCAGTGCCCTACGGCCCCGCGGTGTGGGTTCCTTTTAAATCTTTTAAGGGACACTGGCATGTGTCTGCATCAGAACAGGGAGAACCCTGAGTTTGAGTTGATTCTTCCTTTCCCCCCAAATCCAAATGGAGCGTCTCTGGGGGGAGGAGGTCAAGTTCCAAGACTCAAAGGCCGACCCAAGGCCTCAATACTCAGAAGTGCGATGTAATTACTTGGACATGTATGGACCATCCCATCCCATCAACCTGAGTCATTGCTCTGGGTCTGTTGGATATGCACCGGTGTGTGCCACCTCGGCCCAGCTGGCCACATCTGTCCCCCTCTGAGGCGTGCCGACGCGCAGCTGCTCAGTGCTCGGGCGCTCGGCATGCGCGAAGTGCCCCAAGTCCCACCTGGCGACCCCAACCCGCCACCGGCGAGCCAAGGGGGGGGCCGACCGGACCGGAGTCGATCCTGTCAAGCTGACTCCTCCTGCTGGGTCCGTGAAGCATTCAAGGTCTTGAATGAGTGCCTTTATAGCGTGAGGAATCTCACCTTCCAAACTGTACGATGATAAATCCGTTCAGTTTGACGCCATGACCTTAAGGTCCAAAACCCAGCGTCAGGTGCTTTTGCCAGACTTGCTCCCCATCACTCCATCATAGATTTTTTGTGCCTCACGGCGTGAAGAGAATCAGGTCAGGGTGTCTCATAGTCGTTGCGGACATCCAGGACTTTGCCAGGTCTCAGCCGGGTGGACGGGGGCCTCCAAGGATGGCCTCCAAGAAATGGCTTTGGGGCACCGTTGAGCTCTCCAAAAATTGATCTGGAAATAAACAAATGAAATTTGGGCACCTGTTGGTGTTTAATGCCATGAATGATGGTGGTGGCTAGCCAACCCAAACAATACCAAACAGAACTTACTTGGCACAGGCAAACCTATACTTATTCTCTCAGCTTCGGGCTCTCCCATCGACAAGCCTCTGCAGTGGCCGTCAGTGAGAGGAAAGCATTTGAAAGCATCACAGAAAGCAAACAAAGACATTTTTAAGCATAGGCCCCTCCGCCTCTACACCTCTTTTCTTGTCCTAAGCAAGGAAGGGTGATACAAAGCTGCTGTAAAGGTGCAAAGAAAGCCTCCTTGGTGGATTCGTGAAGAGAAACACCAGCCGGAGACTCACCCTGTCCGGCTCCAACCTTGCAGCTTCCGGCGCCACTCTTCTGGCTCCAAATCCTCCAATGGCCATGAAAGCGAACTACCGGACGTGACCAAGGGCGCTCAAGCAGTCGTGACACTTGGGGGAGCAAACGTCAAACAAATGCTTGTTGGTGTTGCAACCGCTGAAGAGCAAACTTCAAAAGCTGAAGAGCATTTCCATACCCTTTTCTGTCCAAGACCTCTTCCAAACTTCCACCCCCTTGAGGAAGGGTAGATATGGGCCATGTAACTAGGAAGGGTTTGTATCCCATGATCACTAACAAGTAGGCGGACTGGAAAGCTTGAACAGCCGAGGCTACCGTCAGGTCCGAAAAACCACTTGTGGGGATCTGAGACCCCAGGTCTCCCCCAGCCAGGACGGGTAACCTATAAGTCTGTTCTCTCCAGCCGGAAGGGGATCATGGCCCTTGAGGATTGACATCTTCTGATTCCTTCCTCGGTGAGGATCGGCCTAAGCACGAACCGCGAGTGTGGGCGTCCTCGCCGCGGTCGGTCATGTCCACCTGCTCCGCGAGCCTGGCGAGCCAGAGTTGGTGCCGAAGGTCTTTCAGGACCTAAAGAGTACCTGGGCCCTTCACAGGCCTACCTGGACCCGACTTCAAGTACCTTAGACAATGGGACATGACCCCATAATAAACAGGTCCTTGTACCCATTTTCCGAGGTACGAACTGAGACTCCAGGCTCCATGTGACCGAAGATTCTGGGATCTCCAAAAAGTCGTAGCAAATCACCACTGGTCCGGGGAACGGCTCCAATAGGTACATTTGTATTGCGAAGCACCGTGCGAACCTAATAACAACCCCCGTGTCCACAGTTTTTGTTGAAATCCATTTGCGTTCCACGAACTCTAAAAAAACGATCCAATATTACTGTAACATAAGATTCAATGACTGAATGTAAGCGAATGTAAGCATAAATTTGTCTGACTGCCGTCATCATTTCTTCTAACTCGTCTCCAAACAAAAGCCACACCAGGGCTTTTAATGCGTGTTTCTTCCAGGAACCCTCCGGCTTTCGCCTTTCGTCTGTCTCGTCCGGTGCACCGAGAACGGAGGACCGGGCACCGGGCGACTCAGACAGGCCGGTGATGCTCCGGGTGCAATGAGACCAACTGCTTGGCCTTGGGACGCGTGTTTTCTTTCAAAAGAACCCGAACCGGAAGCTAACGGGAGGAAGACCGGCGCGGGGGAGTTCGGGGTGGTTCAGTATGGGTTGATATTTTACTTGGTGGTATCCATTGGTATCCCCTCCAGTGAATAAATCAAAAGAAACGACAAATGGGTACACATGGTAAAATTCGGTGAACTGGAGGGTTTTGGATGGCGGGGGCTATTCCGTGCATGCTTTTTGTGTGTGGGTTCTACTACTTAGCTCCGTCATTTCACATCATTTCACCACACCCTACTCCAGTTGTCTCCAGGGTGTTCCTGATTGACAGTTCTGCCGCTCTGTCATACCCACCAGTCCCCGGTAGTTTGGAAAAAAGGACGTCTTTTGGCCGAGGTTTTGGATGGTTTTGCGAACTTCGGAGGTTGTGTTTCATGGAAGGCTCATTCCGTGATGTCCAGTGTATACCTGCCATTGTGAGCACGTCATGCCCTGGAGCTCATGAACCAAGAGGTATATCAAGCTCCCTTCATATTCATATCCACTGCTGGTCTGTGTGCCTTGCCATGGAAGACCACACACGAACACCATCTAAAGTAAAACAGGCGGCTGACCAAATCTTGTTCAGCAGTTGTCATGCACCCCGTGCTTGATCAAAAAAATAACAATAATATCTGTCTATATATCTGGTCCAAAAGTAAGTGCAACAGTGTAACAAGTAAAAACAACGGAAATAACAAGTTAACCTGAAATCAGATTGGACCCTTCAACTATAACCAATGACGAGTTCTCTCCCTTTTCTGCACTTTGCCAATTTGCCTTCCTTCTGATCTATCGACCTCCCACGATGTGCCACGGAACTCTTCCCGCCCGGAACTCGTTTCCCCCACCCCAAAGCCCCACCACCGGAAACGCGCGTTCTCTCGTGTCGCCTTGACTCTCAGTCTCGGAAAGGCCGGTTCCGGCACCTCGGAAGAAGCGGCAGCACAGCGGTCGGAGCGAGCTGAACCAACCGTTCGGTGCCAGGGGAAACATCTGATGATTTGAGCTCTATAGGTGTTTTTAACAGAGAATAGCAGGCAAGAAGGACAATATGTTGGAATCAACAAAGAAACCAAACATAACAAAAGCAAAGAACATAAAACATGGTCTTGATGATTGTTAGGCAGTGGATGACTCGCCAATCAACGGAGGTCCGAGGTCAGGATGCCTTCGAATCAGGCTGCGGGCGGACCTCTTTTTTCAAGCAAGGTCGAAAAACAGTGCGGCGTGCCAACACGGCGCGAGAATCTCAAGCACTAGTTGCCTACTTTGCCGGAATCTTTGACGGAAGCAGCTGCTTCCTTTCCTCTGCCTCCTCCTCGATGGCTTGACGTGACTTGCCGTAAAGCACTCCTCCCAAGATGGTGAGGCTAGCGCCCACGATCTGCAGTGGTGTCAGTGTCTTGGAGTGCATGCCAAAGGCCTCGATGCCGATGATCACAAACTTGTTGGCATTGATCATGACCAAGAAGCTCGTTGCACTGATGAGGCTTTGAGCCCAAATGCTGGTGTAGCTGATGGCCAAGCCAATCACACAGCTCATCGCAATGAAGAACTGATCCCAACGCGTCAACTTGGACACAGCCAATGGCAAAGAAGAGATTTCACCACTGGCCCAAATGGCGAGGCCAACTGGAAGCAGTCCTCAGATTTGTACAAATTTTGCGCCTCTATGCAATCCAACAGCAGAACAGTTTCTTCCTAAAGAATATCATACTTTAGTATACTTTAGTCACTTCAGTAAAAATGCACCCAAAAAGAAAACAAACCGATCCCTACAGTAGAATTTCACCCAAAGATTCCAACCAAGTTGTTGATCAAGGTGATGCCAGCTTTGGAAATATCCACAGGGCATTGCTCCTTTGAAAGTAAAAGCCTTTGAAGCAATCGATCCACCACTGCGATGGCACTGTTCAGCATGACCCAGCCAATGCCCTGCCAGTTGTCCATGGGAAGTTGCCACACATACATCATGGCGCCCATCATCATCAGGAGAATGGATCCCAACATGTACTTACCTGGGTTCAAAGGATTTGAGGGCGAATACGCCACTGGTTGATCTTTGATTTAAGGAAGGTCTAGCATTCTCAGTTGGGGATAAGTGGAAGAGAAAAACATAGAAGAACTCCAAGTGGTCTTGCTTCGTTGCTGATCTGCAAGGGTTCCGGGTAGAAGCGTTCGAAGACCAAGGTCATCAAAGGCGAGGTGTTGCGGAGCACAATCACCAAAGTCATCGGGGCAGTCTTCAAGGCCAGGATGGACGTCAGGAGCATTCCACAGTAGAAGGGCACGACCATGCACCAGCGGAGCAGGTCACGCGTGGATCCTACGTGGATGTAGGGGAAGCCAAAGACTCCCAAGCAGGCGGCCGAGAAAAAGAGCTGGGCCCATACCAGGCAGCACTCCAAGGGGAAGTTCTGAATGGCCAGCTTGTTGAACAAAAGCATCCCCACCGAAGCGAAGCAGTAGGATGAAGTGGCGAGGATGGTCTGCATGTGTTCGGTGGACGTCATCTCGGAGAGGGCGTCTTCCTTTTCGCTAGTCAAATACGAAGATTGGCGTGGTATAGCGTATAGGGCGTTGCTGGGAGCCCACCACAGCGGTTTCAGCATCATTCAACAAGCCAAGACTCCCTTCAAGTACATTCCACACATGCACACACCCAGTGAGGGGAAGATCAGATCTTTGCTGGAAACCGAAGAACATGATTTGAACTGTAACCATCTACTGTAGACTCAATTGATTAATAGCTCGATACCCCAAGCCCCTTCAGAGGCCAAAATAGAGAGTTTTTACAATCCATGTCTTGGGGGGAGCTGATTCATCTAAAATCTTACAGATCCTCCAAAAGGCCTGCATTACACTGTGGATGTGTCCTTAGCACCCATTTTCGTTGCTGATCTCCAAGAAAAAATACTTTCTGAGCCTCCCGACCGGATCGATCTTGCAAACCAGTGGTCCTGCTGCACAGCCGGTGGTGTGAACACCACACCGGCTGTGGTGTTCCATGGTGTTCTCTCCCTTTCCCAGTGGATCGCAGCTTGTTAGGTAATGACATCTGATCCCAAACAACACATATTGTGAGCTTAAATGGTGAAGATCCTTCTGGCGACTGTTTGCATTGGGACATTGGATTTCCACCGAGACCTTGCAGGTGGACACCGAGGCTTTTTCTTGACGTGTCTATCTCTTCCTGGAGTGCCACCTCAATGGACCCACCTGCACCGGATAGCTTTCTATGGTCTTTTTTTGGGGTTCTACATGTTCCTCTGAATCCGGGTCAGACCGGGCACTTCTCCATGGATCCCTCCCCACTCGGTCGAACTCCGCCTCGACAGGTGCGGAAGCGTCTGGCCTGCAGTCTGTCCGACGGTTGCCCAAACGCACGGGAAGGGTCTGACCGTCTGACCCGATTGAAATCTCTTTTTGCAGGCCCCCAGGACAACGCAAAAGCTACAAATCCATACAAATCCAACTTTCAAGTCAAGATGTTTGGCATGAAAACTCGGGAAATGATCTTGGAAATCAAACAAACTCTCAGGTGAGGGGTGACCTTGGGAGTGTTCCAGGGCGCAATTACCCCACTTGGTGTGTGTTGCAGTCGTCGTAGAGGTCATGTGCTTGGCCGAATCTGTCGGTTTGAGGTTTGCAAAGTGCACCGGTCGCCAGGTGTGCCGGTCGCCTGGAATCCCAGAAGACCCTGAGGTGACCATGTCGAACACCTCGTCGTGGGAATGCACGTGCCGGGTTGAAACATCTGAATGATCACTCAGCGATGAGCTCGTAAGGCGATTGGGCTGAAGTCAAGTATTGGTCGTTGCCCGGGGTAGAAATCAAAGCTACATTACCCTGTTTCTGCGAAAACGCTTGCCTTCTTCCACCTTCCCCGAATCCATTTTTTCACGTTGCTCCTAAGTTGCCCACGACAAAGTCTGCGTACCTGGTTCACGCGCGGGTCGCGGCAGCCTTCTTCATCACAGGAGGGTCCCAAGTGAGGGGGAACCCCCGTGTTTTCAGCTGTGAGACAGGCGGATGCCCATGGCATGTGATGAAGGCTAGCCTGTTACCCACATCCCTCGAGGCGTTTGCCCATGAGTTCCAGCTGTAGTAGTGTCCAGACCATAATAACCCTCAAGATCCTTCAAGCCCATAAAATATCAATGTATGTTGGGTCTATCCTATTCCCTTTAGCAGTGGATGATGATGGTTACTAAAGGCCTTTCTTTAAAATAGTGATAATTGTCTACTGACTGTTGCAGGTATTTACAGGTAATAGGCATAGGACAAACCCAACATATATGCCTGCACTTTTGCAGTCTCATCATGTCTCATCCACCGCGGGTCTTTCGTCGAGCTTTCTACGCATCAATGAACATGAACTTCTATGAGCACAAGCTATTTGCACTTCCGAGTTGTTCTGGAAAACTCTTGCTCAAAAAGGTCGACACCAAATACCACTAGGAGTGCAAGCACTAGCGCCTCCAAGTTGCTCCGTTACACTAGCCAATTGTACTCCAAAGGTACACGCCGCACTCACCCCAGCAGTGTTGTGGTCCGCACCTCTCACAGTCCTCTGTCTTCCCACTGATCTGGACGTTCAAACCTCTGCTGGAGACCTTGACAAAAACTGACACCGGGGGCCTCTTCGATGGATGTGTAGCTCGTTGAGCGTCTTCAAAGGGCGTCCATTTAAACAACAGTTTGCGAGCGCTGCTTGCCCTTGGTGCTGTCAGTCGAAGTTCTTCTTTTCTTGACTAGCTGCCTTCCAAAAAAACACCTGAAGCACACTGTGACACCAGTACCAGAACTTCCCCGGTGGTGTTGGGGACTTTTTGCCCAGCAAGTTCGACAAAAACAACCTATACATAGCGGTCCGTCAGCCGCAACACAACTTCAAAAATTATGGAAGTGAATATTTTCCGAATCGAGAACGTACCAAACATGAACGGATCAGGACCCACCAATAATCACACGTTATAGTCACACCAAATAAGATCCCAAAGTCGGGAATCCCTCTATATCCCTCTTGCAAGTGCATTAATTAGACATAGTTTCTATATATGTGTCTTTCTATCTGCTCTCCCCGTGGTTGGCCATCCGAAATGCTAAACATTAGCACTCCTCACACTGCGCCGCAGCGTCCCCCTGAGCCAGTGGCCCACACGCGTCCCAGCAAGCCACGGGACCTCCCAAGTTCTCGACCGACGTGGCAACTGATGTGGCCGGCCACTTGGATGAATAGATGACTCGAACCCCGCCATTTTGGATTATACAAATCGGAGTGAATGACGCGCAAGTCACAGTACTACTGTTAACTCTTGATGAAGATAACCCCCCGCACGACGTGAAGTAGAAGGGCTTTTCAGGCTTGGGGGGGGTTGGACATATAAGCAAGAGTCTCTAGATTAGAGCAAGTCGAAGTAAATTACACTCTGAAACAATCATGGCCAGCGGATGGCATGGCCTTGCAAACACAGTTTTTCGATTGCAGAACAGGGGATTGTCCACTTCCGTGTTTGTCAAAGGGAGGGTAGTACATACAACAGCCTCAGGCAATCCCAAACACACATTCTGCTGCCTTGTAAAATCGAACGCCATCGTGAGCTCTCCCGGTTACCGAGATGTTGTTGAGAGAATTCCCTTGAGACCTCTTAATGTTTCAGTCTGATCTGGAAACTATATCTGTATATATACTCCAAACGCACCTGGCCTGCACCAAGCTTTGTGTTGCAAGGCCTCTTCCTGTGGCGCCTTGACCTTCCGTGGCAAAGTGTTGCACTCACGCGAAAAGGTCCGCCAACTCAGAATGTTACGGAACCGCCTAACTTCTGCACATCTTCCCAGAAATACATGGGCAAACAAAATACCCCGGAAGCAAGCACAGCTGGCCAAATCTATCGTCGGTGTGCTCTTTTATCTTTCCAATCTTGTCACTGCCATGAACAAAAAACAAGTCTTCCTGGGTCCTTTGGATTGAGGTGTTTTCAGGATCCAAAAACAACCGTCAACAACAGTCATCGACCTAAAGTTCCAAAGCTGCGCTAGCTGCGCAGCTTGGGATCGTTCAGCCATAGGAACAATCAGAATGATCCCAACCCAGGGGACTTGTAGAGCTCCAACGGTGGTTCTCTAAACCTTCTTGAACAACAAGCTCAAGGAGTCACAAGTCGGGGTGGTTTTCAGTCCCATCCAGTGAGTGGATAAGGGGCAACCTATCCTTTGTGACTCCTGTTTTCTTGATTTGTCCTGTTCCAACTTTGGACCTTTCCCGCTCACTCAAGTCCTGGGTCCCACGCAGGGTGGACCAGATAGAAGGCCAAGACCTAGAGACAATCCAATAGAATTTCTCCAGTCCGGATCAAGCTGATACAAGAAGTACATTGCTCCAAAGCTCTTCACCCAACACCCGCACATCTTGCGTTGCAGTCAAATTGTCATCTGCCATATGCGGTGCAGTATGCGGTGCCTCCTCCATAGAAGCATGGTACAGGGCCCGGGTGCTCTCAGCGCTGCAAGATGGGATGGTCCACATGATATATGGTAAAAATATATATGGTATATAGTGCCATAGACAGCTATAGTGGGCCCTCAACTCACGTCCAGTGATCGAAACCGTTTGGATCTGACGGCTCGGATCTTGAACCAATAACGAGCCAAGGCGTGTGGATTGGACCATCCCTCAACGAAACATCCAAAAGGCAAAACAAACATTTGCCCGATTGCCCCTATGAGTCCACTGGATTACCGATTGCCCCTCCATTAGGGAAACAATCCAAGGTAGCACGGGCCGTCAATTTTTTTTCGCGAGGCGGCAAGCGCGTGCAAGCGCGTCTGCTCAAAGGTCGTGGGCGAAGCGGCAGCGATCGTGGGGGCAAAGTCTTCCTTGCTTCACATACCTGGCAGAGCGAGCCGATTTGGGCGGAAAACACTCCCTGCTTGACATTAAGGCCAAACCCTCTGATCGTCTATGTAGTTAATGCATTCACTTGCTTTCTTGGGGAGTAAAACAGTAAAACACATGAAATCCTCAAAGGCAGCAGTCATATGCTGTAAATAGGTACCTCATCTCAAAGATGGCTGACGCCAAGGGACATGCAGGGAGTCGACTTGTGATGCTGCGACTTCTCCGTTTTCCTCGGCGGTTCTGCGAATTTCTCAGCTCCGCAAGTTCTCCCCGTGGATGATGGAATTGTTTGGACCCACCGGTCTTTTGGTCTTTCCAAACAAAGGAGCGGCTCTTTTTGGCGAAATCATGGTCTTTCCCCTAATCATCCGCAAACTGCCAGTTCAAAAACGCCGGGTCCACGCGCGGTGATTGGGAAGGGACGCAGATCTGCCTGTTATATAGATGGTGAGGGAGGTGTGAGTTGGACTGTAAGATGTGGTGCTGATCCGCCTCACCAACCCTGCTTGTAATCATTTGATATCTGCAGCGTCTGATTCAAGGGTCCCTTCTGCTGCCACGACACTGACTTGCCTGCGACCTGCGAATCGGGAACACTGGGAAAAGGCAAGGGCAACGACACGTAGATCAGTTGAGTGACTCGTTTTCCCCACACCAAATAGTGACGCTGACCTGTGGTCGGGTGCACGAAATGCAAGGGGACCCTGGACTATCATCTCAGGTTGTTGTTTGGGGTACCCAACATCTGCCGACCAGTTGAGAACCCTCGAAAAGACCCGTGCTGTAATATATAGCCGTTGAAAGAGGGAGATGAGATGTCCATATCCTGCTGCCAGCTTCAAGGACTGCATTGTTATAACGCGGAACCAAACATAGTCAATCACGTTAACTGTGGATGATGTAATTACCAACCCCAAATAGAGATGTCTTACCATCCCATAGTCAATCACGTTAACTGTGGATGATGTAATATAACCAACCCCAAATAGAGATGTCTTACCATGTCTTACCATCCAGGCAAAAACAATTACAATGTTCACCAACGGTCAACATGAAGATGGCTGGGCATTTTAAATGATGGCCAACGGTTGACCGACAGATTACCATGTCTTCCTCTAAAACATCACAAAAACGCACTGCGCTCATCCGTTGATCGGCTGGGCTTTTTTCACAGAAAGACCGAGCAGTCTGATCCTGGATCCACTCCACCACCCCGTGCGGATCCGACGCCTTTTCAAGGAATGTTCCTTGATGTTCCTGGGTGCCAGGGTCTCTGAGCCAGGACACCCTCCTGAAGGGGTGGGTGCTCTGGATTCTGGATGGTGCAAAAACATCCCGCGCCCAAATCAGGTTGCAAAGCAATGGACGGAATGACTCCCCATCACCCCGAAAAAGGACATTGGTGTTCACATGTGTTCACACTTGATTCCGGGTAGTGTCAGCCCCTTTGGCTTGGGATCTGAGCAGCAGGGGCACTCCACTGCAGGCTCCCTGAATCAAAGAACAAACCATTCCTGCAATTCAAAACAGCACAGGTACTCTTCACATCTGTAATGATCTGTTTGACGGGGAGGCTGCACACATTTTCCTGGGCTTCGATCCGGGATGTTTGAAACCACTTCTTGGCCAAGCTTCTTCAGCTTCAGCTTCAGCTTCTCTTTGGAGGTCAGTGGCCGCCCCTTCTCGCGGGATTGCCTCTCCTGTCGGCGAGGTCGACGGACATCGGTGGACATCGGTGCCGCTCAGGACCCGGGGAAAGTCCGCTGAAGGCCATTTTTCAGCTGGCGCAACAGCAATTATGCAACGTGACTCGAGGCCAACATCTAAAAGTGCTCAATTGTATGTTGGACGGTCTGCAATCAATGATATTATATAAGTACATCTCAGAGTCTCAGAAGGCCTTAGGGGACATGAGGCGGTTGAAGCTCGGATCTTATGCCGAGCACCCAAAAACTTCGATCTCATCCACGGTGGCAATATTGGCCTCAGCCAGGTACGACAAGTGGCCACCCGTGCCAGATCCATTGTAGCTGTATCCGATCGAGAACTGTCCCCTTGCCTGATTGCCGTGTGTGACCAAACGCAAATCATGTCCCCCGAGTCCCCCGCCGAAGGTCGGCAAATAAAATGCATCACAGTAGATGCCGTGCTGGTGATTCTGGAAAATGCGGTGCAGTGACGGCGTGGCATTGGGCCCACAGAGGCGGAACAAAAAGGCATTGTCACATCTCATGTAGGATCCACCGCTAGACCACTCTGCATCGGTGTAGCCACCGAAGATGTAGCCTCCAGTGCTGCGAGCGATCACAACCGTCGGCCCCTTGTTGTCACACTTCTGATGAAAATTTGCCGCTGCAAAGCCGTCTTGTGTGGCCTGAGTCGCTCATCCGTGAGGGAGTTTGACAAGACCATGGCCCTCTGCCTGTTCAACACAAACATGAGAAACTTGTAGGTCATCACAAAATCCTCCGGCTGCATGCGAAAGCTCATGCCATCAGAAGCCTCCTAGGTCCTGCCCTTAGGCCCTAAGCAGATTAGTGGTACCAAGGCTCCCATGACCTATGCACAAGTTGAAAGTTCCGACGCAGGGTCAAACTGAATAGTCACGATCAAAAGATATCAAAAGCAAGAAGAATCCAAGCTGGGGAAGTGGCAGGTTTACACCTCTCATTCGTTCCAAGAGGCTCGGTAGAGCAACTTCAGCTTCTTGAGGGGCAGCCAGTCCAACAACAGTTGCTGCTTCTCCAGGTCAATGACCAGTTGAGTGTCCACGAGGCTCTCTGACAGCTTCATGGCTTCCAAGTTCAAGTATTCCGTAAAGCGGTTCCATGCACCAATCTTAGGGGCTGGGATTTGCGGAGGAAATTCGCGGCCCAGGAGGCTTTTGAGCCTCAAGTGCAGCATAAGCAGCTTGAAAAGCTCAGGGTCTTCGTCGAAGAACACTTCTCCGTCCACCATCTCATCACGTTGCATGGTCCAGGCCTGCTTGGCATGCTACAAACAGTTGCATGATGTTGCACTGCACTATGTATACGGGCGAACTGAGACTTGGACGGGGTGTCAAGTGATCGTACGAGATATTTCTTGAAACAATTAGCGGCTGATGATAGCTGATGGCAGATCAATTCAATCCAATGTCATCTGAGGGACCTAATTCAACGCATCAGACTCGATACCAAGGCCAAGGTAGCTTACATCTATGTCGCTGAGGTTGCTCAGTAGCGATGACCACAATTCTTTAGACCTTGAGGCGATATGCCTCTTTAAAGCCACCAACAACAGTTGTCCCGAAGGCCTCCAAGGCCTAGGGCAATTCCGCAATGTGCAGTGTAGGTGCTCTGAAAACTCCAACCCCTTTCCCTGGTCTACTCGGTCTACTCAACAACCAATGTAGACGTTGCACTGTGCATGCCATATCTTTGCAGGCCCCAGCCTCTCCAAATTTTGCTGCCAACTGAGAGTCCTTTTCAAAGAGCAAGGTCGACCGAAAGGTCTCCTGGTCCGGGAGGACAAGGCTTGAGCGCCTACACTTTGACCCTACCGGTTACCAACACGGTTGGTTACCAACAGGGTTGCTCATCTTCCGGCTGATCTCTAATGCAGATCTCCATATGTCTCCGTGATGGGCGGCAATGTTACGTTGATAAGCAGTGACACATGCCTCTTAAAATTCAGAGCTGGCGCCGCTTGGAGGGAAGTTACGACCCAGTGTGTCTCTCTCTCTCTCGAATTCAAGCCCCTTGCTGGTAGAATTTGGTAGAAAACTCGGAAAAAGCTTATATATGAGCCCCCGTCTCCAGAACCACTCCGCTCACATTCAGCCGGATGATGTCCGCTCCACCGTGGCCCAAGTCGCCGGAACGGCCCAGAAACTGCCTCATGAAGTCCACCTCGTCTGGTCTCAGAAACCCAAACCGGTTAAACCAAAATTCAAGTTTAAGTATAAAATAGTATCTAATATATGTTAATACATGTTAATACTATAGTCGTTTCAACCAAAATTCATCGTTTGTCTAATTGCCCATGCCTTCCAGTTTGTTGAAACGACTATAGTCTTGGATCCTATGTTTCGCTCGAATGACAATGAACGTATTGGTCACCCCCTGGGAACTACCCTGGGATTATCCCATTTTTGGCATTCGGAACATCAGCTCATCAGCATTCATCAAGGCAACTTCCACATTGTTTGGGGTGTGCAAGAAAAATCACGGTGCAAGTGATGCCAGCCATCGTAAAAACTGGCCGCCCACCTCAACGTCCGTGGCCTTGTGCTGCGCCTCCAGCAGCCTGTTTTGCAGAAAAGTCTTGCACCCGTAGTCAAGAGCCGCCTGAGTGACAGCCACCGCCTTTTCAACAAGACCAGCATGGGATTCATCCATCTGCTGCTTGCCCTCAGTGATGGTAGAGCCCAAAGCCTCT